CCGAGCTGCATGAAATTAGTCCCTGCTGCTGGAATTTCTTTCATGTGTTATGAGGCATGCAAGAGAATACTGGTCGAGAAGGACGATTCATGAAAAAGCAAACAGGCCAAGGAAAAGGGCTCGACCTTGAGGAGTTCCAATTCTTGTTCTCTCATTTACAAAGGTGATTAAAGATGACATCCTTTCATCTTGTTTTCTTATTTCCTATGGAGGAATATTATTCATGAGAGATAGATAGTACTTGTGTTTTGGCTCTACCGGTTGGTTTTGGTTAAGAGTTTTTTCTTTTTCAAACTGCCATACGGTTCTTCTAGGTGTTCGCAGAATAATTCCGGTTTCAATGCATTGAAATAATGTAATTTGCAACACCTATTGCTTTTGCCCTTTGGAAAATGTTGTAAGAAGTACTAGAAAAACCGCTAATTTATGCAATGCATTGCTATTGTCGATATTAGTTATTAGCATAACTAATCTTCTACCCATAGTGAGCAAAAGATATGTTGTCCACCACGTTATCAGTATTTTAGACCTCATCAGTGATTTGGCTAACACTACATGTTGCCACATCATTGGTGGGCAACATATTTACTTTCCATAGTGTGCAGAAGATCAGTTCTGCAGACTGCAGTTATTAGTTTCTATCGTTTTGTTTTCCATCGCCACATGCCTCTTTTTGGTGTTAACTCTTCCTTCTCTCAATGAGTAACTTATTTGTAACTTTGATCACTTCCTAGAAGTAAACTTACTTTGTGATAATCGGATTGTGTTCATCTCCAACCAGTCGTGGTCTCGGGTACCTATCAGCATTCGCCACCCTGAAGAACTGCAAGGTGAGAAATCACGTGACATCATTACCCTCTTGAGCCATGTTAGAATTTGACTTCGTCAAAACTTAAAAGTAGATGAAAATTTCTCTAGCTTTTTTTTGCAATTTGATCTTTAATTTCTTGTGGAGATGAGGAAAGAACAAAACCCAGAATGAGTTTGGGAGATTCATATGCTTGATATATAATGGAGTGCATGTGGAATACAAGAAGGCATATTCCACTTACTCAATTATATCATCACTCAATGCCAAAAGACTGATTTTATCAGCAATATTTGCCCTTGTTTTATGTATTTGGATAAATACACTCAAAATTTCAAAAATTAAATTAAATAATTTTGATGGTGTTGATTGGTTTAATAACTCATCATTGACAATTCTAAGCTTTTCCTTTTGCATTTATAATCCGAAAACATGTGAAAGGAGACTGGAGTTATGGATCAACCTGGACTGGGCCAAAAATTAATCTATATCCCAGGCTTGGCTTGAACCGCCCAATAAAGACCCATTTAGAGGCCAAACCGGGCCTCCGGTTCTGACACCACTTGATCCATGCAAGATATACAGGTGATCCACTCAACTCTTAGTACTGTTTGGGTTTCACACATTTTTCAATAAAATAATATTATATTTAAATTTAAATTTATTTCATCTTTTAATCGCACATTTTTGAAAAATTACTATTTTAAAATACATTATCCCCAAATTTTGATTTTAATGGAGCCCAAACAAGGGCTTAATGATATCTAATAACTAATGAAGTAAACAAAAATTGCAGAATTAAACGAAAAACATAGTCTCACAAGAAACTTTGATCCTTGCCCATATACATTTCTTTCCGCTGCCAGCCATAGAAAATTGAACGACATGAAAATTAATCTTTAATTTATCAAAATTGAATTTTGAATAGTAAAATTCTGTCTGAAGTCCACAAACAAAAGATACGAACATCAAAACAGAAGCAATGAGAGGGAAAATAAAATCAAATAATACACTTTTTAACTTTGTTCTTCACCAATTGTACCGGCCCTGACTATAGGTGAGGTAGGCGATGACCTAAGACCCCACTTCGGTGAGGGCCCAAATTTTTTTTTAATTTTTTTTTTATTTTACATGTATTTTTACATATACATAGGATCCCATATTTGAAATTGGTCTAAGGCCTCCAAAATCTCAGGACCGGCCTTGCACCATCTCCAGCTCTATCATCACCAGCCGCCATCAATTCGTCGAAATTGAAATCATCAAAGTTCTACAAAATTGAAAAGCCAGGGACCCAAATGTAACAAAAATAAGTTGAAGTGCTACATTATGCATACGGTGGGTGACCTCAGTAATTTTCCCAACATTTTATAATGTAACATTAAGAAAAAAAAGAAAGGTTCTAATAAAATATGGTGAGAAAGATTATCTTGTGAAGCTGAAAGTCTTACTCTTCTCAACTGAAAATCCATTATTTTTCAGAATTTCAGCCACACTCACCACTGTGGAAATAGCTACGACCATGGAAGAATGCTGATAAATTATGGAGTAATTTTTAACAAGAATCGAACCGAACCAAAATTTTCGGGTATTTAGTAAATGGAACCGTCGGGTCCAAATATAATTATGGAACCGTTCGGGTTCAGTTCGGTTCGGTTCGATTCGGTTCCGTTCGGTTCTGTACTATAATTAAATTTTTTAACATTTATAACAGCATTATATAAATACAACTAATGACACATTCAATGGTTTTGAAATGTCATAGACTCGTAGACTATCTTGTTCAAATGATCGCTACGATCAAAATTTCGGTTGGCGGAGGTCACAGCGTCGGTCGACGATTGTATATGTTTTGGAATGTCAGCGAGGCTGCGAGAGTCGAGACAGCGTTATACACTTTAGTATATATATTTAGGGTTATTTAGTGAGTTGGATCTTGTTAGGCTAAGAAATGAGACAATAGAAGGGGTAATTGAGCCAAAAATTAAAAAATTAGAAATGAAACAAATTATTTGGCCAAAAATTTGGATTTAGAAATTGTTAATTTATTAATTTCTTTAGAAAAAATTAAAATTAAAATAATTTGATTTATTTAATATAAAAAAAATTAGAAATATTCGGTTCTTATTCGGTTCTTCGGATCTTGGTCTAGAACCGAGAACCGAACCGTACCCGTCGGTTCTCAATTCAAATAGCCGTTCGGGTATTTAATTTGACAAGAACCGTCGGGTTCGATTCGGTTCAGTTCGGTTCAGTTCGGTCGGTTCGGTTCGGGAGATTTGCCCAGCCCTAGTCCTAAGTTGTGATAACGAGTTTACTTGAGTTAATATTTCTTAAAAAGTTCCTTTTAATGATGTAGGGCCATCAGTATATACTATTGGCATTTTAGCTACTTTTGTCCTTAACTTTTTCCTTGCTGCTAAAAAAAATATGTTTGTCTGGGAAACAATAACTTGATTTTGAAGGCTTAATTGTTAAATAATGGCGTAAACAATTTTCAGGCACATTGATGAGCTCCTTGTGGATTTGTTCAATTTTAAAGGATAAGACAGCTATAGACTCGTAGGGAAACAAAAAGGGATTGTTGTTAAAAAGAAATGGGCACCCTATTCTGAAGTTGGGTTGTACTTTACATCCTGTCCTGATGATTTTAACTAATAAATCTGTATGTATTGCTTATAAATTGGCACTTTTGTCTGAAAAACGTGCAGTTATTTGCTTATGACACAGTTAAGAAGCAGCTGACACCAAAACCTGGAGAGCATCCCAAACTATGCATACCTGCTGCTCCAATTGCAGGTGCTGTTGCTGGAATTAGCTCTACCTTATTCACTTACCCGCTCGAGCTGCTCAAAACTCGACTCACTGTGCAGGTATATAAATGTCTGTCAGCCCATTATTTTTTGAGTAATTCCTTGTCAGATTTTTTTGCATTTACTGCCCTTTTCATCTGCAGAGGGGCGTCTACAAAAATCTTGTCGATGCATTCCTGAAAATTGTAAGGGAAGAGGGACCTGCAGAACTATATAGAGGCCTCACTCCGAGTTTAATAGGAGTAATTCCATATGCTGCCACAAATTATTATGCCTACGACACTTTAAGAAAGTCTTATAAGAAAGTCTTCAATGAGGAGGAAATCGGAAATATTGCTACCCTTTTAATTGGATCTGCAGCTGGTGCAATTTCAAGCAGTGCAACTTTCCCTCTTGAGGTGGCTCGAAAACATATGCAAGCCGGCGCTCTCAATGGGAGACAATACAGAAACATGCTTCATGCCCTTTTAAGTATACTTGAACACGAAGGGGTCTCAGGTTTATACCGGGGCTTAGGGCCGAGCTGCATGAAATTAGTCCCTGCTGCTGGAATTTCTTTCATGTGTTATGAGGCATGCAAGAGAATACTGGTCGAGAAGGACGATTCATGAAAAAGCAAACAGGCCAAGGAAAAGGGCTCGACCTTGAGGAGTTCCAATTCTTGTTCTCTCATTTACAAAGGTGATTAAAGATGACATCCTTTCATCTTGTTTTCTTATTTCCTATGGAGGAATATTATTCATGAGAGATAGATAGTACTTGTGTTTTGGCACTACCGATTGGTTTTGGTTAAGAGTTTTTTCTTTTTTCAAACTGCCATACGGTTCTTCTAGGTGTTCGCAGAATAATTCCGGTTTCAATGCATTGAAATAATGTAATTTGCAAAACCTATTGCTTTTACCCTCTGGAAAATGTTGTAAGAAGTATTAGAAAAACCGCTAATTTATGCAATGCATTGCTATTGTCGATATTAGTTATTAGCATAACTAATCTTCTACCCATAGTGGGCAAAAGATATGTTGCCCACCACATTATCAGTATTTTAGACCTCATCAGTGATTTGGCTAACACTACATGTTGCCACATCATTGGTGGGCAACATATTTACTTTCCATAGTGGGCAGAAGATCAGTTCTGCAGACTGCAGTTATTAGTTTCTATCGTTTTGTTTTCCATCGCCACATGCCTCTTTTTGGTGTTAACTCTTACTTCTCTCAATCAGTAACTTATTTGTAACTTTGATCACTTCTTAGAAGTAAACTTACTTTGTGATAATCGGATTGTGTTCATCTCCAACCAGTCGTGGTCTCAGGTACCTATCAGCATTCTCCACCCTGAAGAACTGCAAGGTGAGAAATCATGTGACATCGTTACCCTCTCGAGCCATGTTAGAACTTGACTTCGTCAAAACTTATAAGTAGATGAAAATTTCTCTAGCTTTTTTGGCAATTTGATATTTAATTTCTTGTGGAGATGAGGAAAGAACAAAACCCAGATTGAGTGTGGGAGATTTTTGTGCTTGATATAATGGAGTGCATGGGGAATACAAGAAGGCATATTCCACATACTCAATTATATCATCACTCAATGCCAAAAGACTGGTTTTATCAGCAATATTTGCCCTTGTTTTATGTATTTGGATAAATACACTCAAAATTTAAAAAATTAAATTAAATAATTTTGATGGTGTTGATTGGTTTACTCACTCATCATTGACAATTCTAAACTTTTCCTTCTGCGTTTATAATCCGAAAACATGTGAAAGGAGTACTGGAGTTATGGATCAACCTGGACTGGGCCAAAAATTAATCCATATCCCAGGCTTGGCCTAAACTGCCCAACAAACCGGGCTGATGAAGACCCATTTAGAGACCAAACCGGGCCTTCGGTTTTGACACCACTTGATCCATGCAAGATATACAGGTGATCCCTTCAACTCCTAGTCCCTGTTTGGGTTTCATCATGCATTCTTCGATAAAATAATATTATATTCAAATTTAAATTTATTTTATCTTTTTAATCAAAGATTCTTAAAAAATTGCTATTTTAAAATACATTATCCCCAAATTTTGATTTTAATGGAGTCCAAACAAGGGCTTAATGTTATTAAAATATTAATAAATATTTATATGCACGTTTCCGGTTTCTATTATGTTATTAAAATATTAATAAATAAACTGGTGCCTTAATTATCGCAATTAGGATATTCATTAAGCTAACTTCCATATTATACCAATTCCTCTCTCTCTCTCAATATCTTCTGCACGATTCCAAACTACCCAAAACTTTTGCCCCACGAATTCGCTTCGATCGTACGTTTGATTTCACATTCGGTAATTTCGAAGTCTCTCGTTTTCCATTTTGCAACTGTGTTATCAGCTTCATTCGTAGTAGTATATAATCTGTTCAAGTAGTTTTCGCCCAATTTTTTTTGCTTGGGATCAACAAGCGAAGTGAAATGGAGGAATCGAAGGGCGCAAAACCGGTTACTAATGTCGAAGACATGTCAAAACGAACAAAAAAGAGGAAAACTGAGCAGAGCCCCAAAAGAACCTCACCTAAGAAGCACGTCGTTTCGGTGTCCGCGAGAAAAGTGCGATCAAACAAGGTTTTTTAAATTTCTGGTGTATGCGTTCTGATTTTAGTGGCACACATGTTGGTTGAATCATGGGTTTAGCACTATTGAACATTAATTTGACATCTGTAAACTTAATCAGTTGTAATCATAGGATTAAAGTTTCGTCACCTCATTGTGTGTGAACAACATGTGTGGTGAAATGTGTTTTGTTTACCCCGTCGATGAACATGACCATCATCAACAATGAAGGTTCATGTGATGAATATGTCAATCTGTGACCGAGACAAATATGAATTTGTGGCCTTAATCAATGGATGACATTATGCATATACTGAACTGATTGTTAACGTAATCGTTGAAGAGTTTTATGTGACCATGAGCTCCAATTTGTGACTACGTTTTTTAACACACTTATGGCGTGTGACCATGATATCCGTCGGTCACTAAGGTGGTTGTGCATGCGAGGCTTGAATTCATATTATTACGCATGCCGGCGACCATGTTATTATTGTCTTACGACACTGTGAATATGTTTTGTGGCGTGAGTACACCGTTACATATATATGTGACCCTTTCAAAATAATCAGTTTTCTAGGCTGACTGTGTGATTTGACTACGTTTGTGTGTGAACAACATGTGTACTGAAATGAGTTTTTATTACACCATCTGTGAACATGACCATTATAAACATGACCATGTGACCAATATGTGAATCTGTGACCGAGACAATTATGAATTTGTGCCTTTAATGGATGACATAGTGCATGCATGTGACCTGATTGATAACATAGTTATTGAATAGTTTTATGTGACCATGATATCGAATTATGAATATGTTTTTGTGGTCTAAGTGCACAGTTGCATACATATGTGACCTGTACAAAACAATTTGTTTCAAGCTAACTGTACAGGTGCATGCATATCTATGTGTTTGTGCTTTCACTACATTTGTTTAACATTACGTCATTCTAAAAACTTCGTGTAGGCCTGGCAATT